CATTATATAAATTAACCACTTCTTCTGGATCCATTCGTCCATTGATGGACACTTAGGCTCTTTCCATGTTTTGGCTATTGTTGAGAGTACTGCAGTGAACATTGGGGGTACGTGTACCTGTATGCATCAGCACCCCTGTATCCCTTGGGTAAATTTCTAGCAGTTTTGCTAGGGTCATAGGGGACCCTATGCTGGGACATAGGGGAGTTCTATTGTTAATTTTTTTGAGGAACCTCTACACTGTTTTCCGGAGGGGCTGCACCAGTTCACATTCCCACCAACAGTATAGGAGGGTGCCCGTTTCTCCACATCCTCGCCAGCATCTAGAGTCTCCTGATTTGTTCATTTTATCCCCTCTGACTGGTGTGAGGTGGTATCTCAGTGTTGTTTTGATTTGTGTTTCCCTGATGATGAGGGACGCTGAGCATTGTTTCATTTGTCTGTTGGCCATCTGGATGTCCTCTTTGGAGAAGTGTCTGTTCACGTCTTCTGCCCATTTTATTACTGGATTATTTGTTTTTCAGGTGTGGAGTTTGGTAAGTTCCTTATAGATTTTGGATATGAGCCCTGTAACTGATATGTCATTTACAACTATCTTTTTCCATTCCGTCGATTGCCTATTAGTTTTATTGTTTGTTTCCTATGCCGTGCAGAAGCTTTTTATCTTGATGAGGTCCCAATACTTCATTTTTGCTCTTGATTCACTTGCCTTTGGGGATGTGTCAAGTAATTGTTTCCTACTTTCTCCTCTAGGGTTTTGATGGTTTCCTGTCTCACATTCAGGTCCTTGATCCATTTTGAGTTTATTTTGTGTATGGTGTGAGAAAATGATCTAGTTTCATTCTTCTGCATGTTGCTGTCCAGTTCTCCCAGCACCATCTGTTAAAGAGGCTTTTTTCCATTAGATACTCTTTCCTGCTTTGTCAAAGATTCGTTGGCTATACATTTGTGGGTCCAATTCAGAGTTCTCTATTCTATTCCATTGGTCTATGTGTCTGTTTTTGTGCCAGTACCATACTGACTTGATTACAGCTTTGTAGTAGAGGCTAAAGTCTGGGATGGCAATGCCTCCTGTTTTGGTTTTCTTCTTCATTATTACTTTGGCTATTCGGGGTCTTTTGTGGTTCCCTTTGTATGTTAGGGCCCTTTTATCCCTAGTTGCTTCAGAATTCTCCTATTGTCCTTATATTTTGCCAGTTTCACTATGATATGTTCAGAAGATCGATTCAAGTTACATCAAGTTACATTCAATGTCTGTTAACTTCCCCAATCTGGGAATCTCTCTTCCTCTTCTGGAATTCCTATGATACAGATATTGTTTTGTTTGATTGTATTGCTCAGCTCTCAACTCTCCTTTCGTGTTCCTGGGTCGGTTTAATCTCTTTTTCTCAGCTTCCTCTTTTTCTGTAACTGTGTCTTCTAATTCACCTATTATTCTCTCTGCCTCTTCATTCCATGCATTGGATGCCTCCATTTTATTATGCATCTCATTTATAGCATTTTTAAATTAATCACAACTATTTCTCCACTCCATAGTCTTTGTAGCAATAGTTTCTCTGATGTCTTTCATGCCTTTTTCAAGCCCAGCAATTCATTTTATTACTATTGTTCTAAATTCTTGTTCAATTATGTTGCTTATATTTGTTTTGAGCAGTTCTTTAGCTGTCATTTCTTCCTGGAATTTCTTTAGAGTAGAGTTCTTCCATTGCCATCATTTTGGCTAGCTTTCTGTCTCTTGTTAGTTTTAAAAGCTTGTTATGCACTCTGCACCTGTGAGTACTGCTGTATTAAAGAAGGCTCTTTGACTGTCCAGGGCCTATCCATTTAGGAAGTGTTCTTTGGTGTCTCTTGGTCTTTCTTGTTGAGACTTTGGTTATTTTATTTCCCTACTCATAGTGGTATTTGGGACTCTCCACTATGTGTACTTCGGCTTGTTTCTTGAGGTAGCCCTGGAAAAGAAAACAGACAAACACAGGGACAAAAAGCACACAAATGCACAGACAAATCTAACAAACACACAAACCAAAAGGGAAAAGGAAAAAGAAGAAAAAAAGAGGAAGGAGGAAAAACAAACAATAAAAATAAAGAAAGAAGAAAAAAAGAAAAGAAAAAACCCAAAAGACAAAGAACAGTCTAAAGGCATAAAACCAGAATTCCCAGCTACAAATAAAGAGCCAGGGGTGTGCAGTGCTGATGGAAGAGCATATACAAAGAGAGAAATGACAGGGTGGGGAGGAAGCAAAATTAGAAGAGAAATGAACAGGCAGAGAGACTAAGGGGCTTAATTCAGAGAGACAAAGAGGAGAATATGGTAAGAGGCGAGGAGAAAGAAACCAAGATAATGTTACGCAGAGAAACTGTATAGTCTGATTACTCCAGAGAGAGAGAGATAGAAAGGTAGCAGTGGAGGTGTAGAATATACATCTAGAAAATGGATTAAATGTGACTGTTTCAGCAAACCAGTGACCAGTGTGCCCAGTCCAGCAGAGGGGAGGGATACGAATGAGACAAGGGAGAAAATATCTGAATAGAAAGAATTGACCTAGAATTAATCAGGGCAGAGAATCTATGTTGGTCTTTCCCTGGGCTCCTGTAAAAAAAAAGGGCAGCTCTCTAGCAGGGATGGGCCTGGCTTGGTGTAGGTGAGTCTTAACCTCCACTGAGTCCTGCGGGAAGCTCCCTGAGGTTCCGCCTTGGTGGTTGTGGGGAGAAAAATGGCAGTGCCCCAGTCCCCTCTCGAACCAAGCATTTCAACTCACTCTTTTGGGTCTGATCTCCCTGTGCTGCGGGAGTAGCCAAGGTGGGCTGTGCTTTATGTCCGAAGCCACACCTCCTTTCCAGATCTTAGTCCTTGTGCCCCATTAATACCACCTGCAATATAAACCCACAGTCCGAGTCCCTCCGAGCAGTTTCAAGCTGGCTGCCCCCCACTGGGAATGGAGCTGAGCCAGAAGAGAGGTGGAGTGGCTTTAGGTGCACCGCTTCCCCTCCGGGTTGAGCTGCCAAGCAGAGGAGCGGTTTCTCCTGTCACCTGGGACCAGTGCGTCCTGCTCAAGGTCAGCTGCACAGCTGGAAACCGAATCCCTCTGTGTCTTCCCACATTTTTTCTGCTCATTTGTAGTTTACCACTTTGGCAGGGAGTGGGGTCTGCATTTTCTTGTCTTATCTATCACTGTCCCTTCCAGGTTGCTTCTCTTCCCTTTATTTATTATTCTCTCTTACTTTCTTCTTACCCTCAACTCTGTCAATTCCTGACTTCCTGGTACCTCCTCAACATAGATTTATGCCTTTGGCAACTCCCATCCACTGTTTTCTCCTTGAGCTGTCAGCCTCCAACATCCATTTGGAATAACAATGACTAACATTTAAGGAACTCAGATGTGTAAGGCACTATTATAAAGCACTTTTATATATGTCATTTGATCTTCAGACTAGGCCTGTGAAGTAGATAGCTCATTATCCCCATTTTACAGATGAAGTTTATTTGCTCAAAGTCACCGAAGTCAAAATTAGCAGATCTGGTTTTGAACTCATATCATCTGGCTCTAGAATCTGTGTTCTTAACCACTCTACCATTGGTTCTCAAACTTGACTTAATGTGGCCAAGTGTAAAATATACTGATGATGGGGTGCTGGGGTGCTCAGTTGGTTGAACATCCGACTCTTGATTTTGGATTAGGTCATGATTCCAGGGGTGTGGGATCAAGCCCCGCATTGGGCTCCCTGCCGAGCATGGAGCCTGATTAAGGTTTTTCTCTCTGTGTGTGTCTTTCTCCCTCCCTGTGCCCCTCTCCTCCACTCACATGTGTGCTCTCTCTCTCAAAAACAAAAATAAATCAGAAAAAGATATTTAAAATATACCGATGCCTAGGACACATGCCCAACTAATTAAATCAGTTTCTGGGGAGTGAGACCCAGGTAGCTGTATGTTTTAAGTCTCTCTAGGTAATTCCATTGAGCAAAGTTGAAAACCATTGCTCTACATCTTCATTATTTAGTATAGCAGCTTCAAGTTGTGTGCTTATTTAAGTTTAAATGGACTCTAAGTAAATAAAAACTCACTTCCTCAGTCATACTTGGCACATTTTAAGGGATCCATAGCCACATGTGGCTAGTGACTGCTCTGCTGGACCCCATAGACATAGAATATTTCCGTCGCTACAGAGGTTCTATTAGAGAGCACTGCTCTATACCATGCTGTCTCCCATCCCTCACGCTGCTGCCTTGACCCCATGACCTTGACTTTATTCTTTATAGCAGCCCACAGATGAGGCTAAACCCTAGACCTTGTCATCATCTGAAACTTTGTCTACTTTGCAATATCTTAAACTCATAAATCCCTCGGTTGAAGCCTCCTGTCCTCTCTGCAGTTCATTTTTATATGTCAGCCTCTCAGCTTACCTACTCTCCCCTTGTCAACTTCTCCTAGGCTTTATTTCTTTTTCTGCTGAATTTTGGATCCCCTGGTCAGTCCTGTCCTGGACATTTCCTCCTGTGGCTTACATTTTCTCTTTTCCTGCCACAGCCAGAGTGGCCAGCTCTAATGCTGGATATGAAGCCATAATACATTCTTAGCTCCTCCTGCCCCATTGCTGCTGGAGAAAAGCTTGTCTTCTAAGAGATATCAGCACAGTTTTCCAATTTCATTTGGGAACTCGTCTCTGCACAGCAGTCCTTTGAGTCTTCTGTAGCTCTCCTTTTCCCCCACAGCGGCTGTTAGAGACCATCCCCTTCTCTACCCTGTGGGTCCCATGCTGCCAGCCTGAGCACAGGAGCCCTGTTCACTCAGGAGAGCCTGGCGGCAGTCTGTAGAAACACCCTGGACTTCCCTTCTGTCTGTCTACACAGCCTGCTTCACCTGTGCTTCCTTTTTCCCTCATCTCAGAGGAGGGGCCTGCTCCTTTCTGAGGCTCTTCTGCCCAGTTGGTTACCCAAGCCCCATCTTCCTGTACCAGGGCTTTGTCAAGTCTTTTCTATCCTTTAAAAAACCCAGAAACCCAATCCTTTTGTAGTTTGTAAGCATGATGATTGGGTGTTCACATCATTGTGTGACATGTGCCAGTCTTAAACCTTCATACGACGTCAGCACATTACCTGTCTGACATGGGGAAAAAAAAAACCCAAAAACCCAGAAACCATCAGTGTTTTCTTCACTTGCAACCCCATAGAATGATATCCTTATCTCCTTCTTTTCCTGTTCTGGCAAACTTCAGCTCCCTTCAGTCTGGCCCCCAAACCTGCCAGAAGGGCCTCCAGATGCCAGGTTGGTTCTCTGCAGTGTCGTTTGAAGCTGCTGACACTCCTACTTCACTAAACTTCCTTCTCTGTTAGGATCCATGACATGAGCCTGTTCTCCGGCTCTCCAGTTACTTCCCAAAATCTTCTGCATGCTCTTTCTGTCTCCCCACAGCCCTCATCACACCCAGTTGCAGTTATTTATGTGGGTTCGGACCCTGTCTTAGTCACACCTTCATTTAAAAATCCTCAGCATCAGGCCTGGCTTGTGGTATGAATATTGTGTTTAGGGACATTTTGAATGAGGTGAGGCTCAAGCACAATTACATATAGTGGATAAATAGCTTGTGTTGGGGCTACCTTGAAACCCTGTTTTGATTTGCACATGTGTGGTTCTCAATGGACAGATGCAACCTCTGATAGATGTTTGGGAGCTCACTGTTGCAGGTTTTTTGCCTCCACTCCTGAATGTTTCATCAATGTCGGTGTCCTGTCACTCCTCACAGACTGTCTCAGACTGTCTTGCTGCGCACATCTGCCTGGATACCCCCCCCCTTCCCCCAGAAAAAACCTGCCTCCTCTAGCTGGCCTCCAACTTGCCCTGCAGGGTGACTCATGGGGCTTCCCAGATGTTTTAGGTTTTGTCTGTAGCCAAGAAACATTCAGATCTACTGTGTTTTTAAATCATATTTTCTAACAAAATGGCTTCCCATAAAGTAGGATTTGGCCACATTATTTTTGAGCATCATATCTGAAAATGTTTTTTTAAAGCAATTTGAGAGTCCTATCTGTTATTAGATATGTAAAGAGAAATATGAAAGCCATGGCTTTTGAGGTGACCTTAAGGCGATGATTCTAATATAGGCACAATGTTATAATGGACATAGTGGGGATATTGCTTAGAAGGTGTCATGAAGGAGATGACTTGAGGAAGACCTTGAAGGCTGGGCAAACCTTGCAACAGGCAGACACTCTAGTGAGGATGGCAGTTCAAGTGGAGAGAGGGACATGAGTAAAGGTGATGAAAAGTGGCACGGGTTAGCCTATATCGAATATTGCAGTTTGTTGAAAATAAGGGCATGTGGGGAGATAAATTTGGCGGGGGGGGGGGGGGTTAAGTTGAGCCACAAAGTGGAGAACTTCAAATGCCAGCCTAAATAGTGCAGATGTGATAAGTACTAGGAGCCCTTGAGGGTTTTTGTCAGAGGACAGGTGTGATGATCGGACACCGGGAAGCTGCATCTGGCAAAAAGAATTAAGTTGGGTTTGAAGGGATTGATGCAGGGCACCTATGGCTGGGTGGCTAGCTAGCCTGGGGTGGTCATGGTCCTGGACTTCTGCCGAGTGGTGGGAGCCAGGGAGTGGAGGCTGCCCTTGGCTGTATGTGTGCCACTCTGATTTGTGACTAAGACTGTGGTTGCTCAGCTTCTTAGACTCAGACTTGTCTCTAAATTGCAGCTACTTTAGTCATTCTGTTGCTTACTCTATTCCATAGGTATCAGTTCTGTTCTCAATGGAGACCCAAAGCTTCGATAGCAGAATGGAGGAAGAGCAGCTACTTACAGAATGAATAATTAAAAGCCATATGAAGGTCAAAAAGCATATCTGATGTGAACACAGCAACCACGTGTTCTTAGGTGAACCCATGTATGGTCCAAGATGCTGCAAGGTCATGACTGTAGGAGAAAGAATTGATGAGGGAGAGAAAAATGTCTAATCAAAATGTTAGTACTTACATAAATCCCACATTTTAATAAGCAGATAAAAATTATTCACATTGCCTGAAGAATTGTCAGTGTTCCTCACATTTTAAATATTTAGTTGATTCCTTCTACATGTTCCTCGTCCTCCTCCTCATCATTGTATTTCCTCCATCGGTGCAGATGTCAACACAGTGAAGCAGGCAAGTAATACCTTATTAATAACACAAACATAGTTTTGACCTCGTGAACCCCTTAATGGATCACACTTTGAAAATGCTTGTGTGTGTGTGTGTGTGTGTGTGTGTGTGTGTGTGTGTCTGTGTGTATCTATCTAATGATCCTTCGGTTATTCCGCCCAGTTTGATCGCTAGATGATAGTAACTATTTGTAGATTTTAGTTACTTTGCTATTCACTTAGTGTTTCTTCAGAATTATTTGTAGATCTAAGTGTTTCTTACCATGTTGTGGCTTAGGACACAGTTGGTTTACTGGTTGTGTGTCCAACTTGGGTTTGGGGTTAGAGATTAGGATCAGACATATAGCTGGCTATTTGGACTATAACTCAAAATGCCAAATATTGGGTGCCCACCTTCAGATCATCTGTGATGTTTAGAAGGCTATAAAGAGTACTGAGGTTTTAAGAATTCATATAGATGTAGCCTTCCTTTTGAAGTTGTAGCCTTAGAAGTCTCAGGATTTCAGTGGCTAATACTTGTTTGGGTGATAGAACAGGGAGATAATGATTTGCAAATTTGTTTCGCCAAAATTTATTTTTGTTTATCTTCAGTTATGGCTGTGAAATAACATAGTAACAGTGAAAGTGTTGACAGTAGTATTTCTGCAGTTGGTATTTGGCTGCCATGTTTCTGTTTATGAACCTTTAGGGTTAACATTTTTTATGAGAACCAGAAGGAAGTTTGACTTCTTTCAATTTCTGTTCATTAACCTATAGGCATCTTATAAGTTCTTTCTTGTTTGGTTTCTTTTGTTAACTTTAAAGGAGTTTTTCTATCAGATGTTTGAAAATACAACACCTCATATCTGTGTGAGTAAATGATGTAACATACAAAAACATTGAGAAGCTTGAAAAGAGAAAGCACAAATAGTTGTGGAGTGTTATGACTTAACAGTCTTGTTCCTAGTATTTTTAGTAAACTAAGATTTCTGGGCAAATGAATTCATTTCCCTTGCTCTTATCAATCAAATCAAAGAACTGTATACCATCCTAACTCTTTAAAAAACCAAAACATCAAAACTGCTTATAGATATGTGTTTGTACTGTAAATTTGAAAAACACAGAAAAATTTAACAAGAAAATAAAAATCATCCTGGGTTGCCCGAGATGTGTGTGAACATATTGACTATAAAGGGGCTCTAGGGAACTTTCCAGAATGATGGAACTGTTCTCCTTTTTATTGGAATTTGGGTTACATGGGTATATTTGTCAATCAAACTTTATTCTTTAGATCTGTATATAAGTTGTACTGTAGTACAGAAAAAAAAAATAGTCTCAGTACTCAGGGATAACCATGATTAACATTCTGTATATTTCTTTGTAGAGTGGTATTTTTTTTAAGTTGAGATCTTATTGTGTATACTGCCTACTTTTATAAAAAATTAACATTGTGTTTTCAGCATTTCCAAATGTCATTAAACATACTTAAGTATAATAGCCACATTCTCTTAGCCCAGTGTATCCAGTTCTATATAATCAATTCCCTGTTTTTGGAATTTGAGGTTGTTAAAATCCTTCTCTTTTGTATATAAGACTTATAAACTTAATTGCACAAAACTTTTTCCCCAGCTCTGATATTCTGTGTATGTGTCAGTGTATTCTAATTAGGTTTGATTCCATTTAATTCAAGAGCCTGCGCTTGAGGCCACTCTGGACATGCAGAGCTGTGAACCATTCCATCCATGCCTGTAAGGGCGCCTGTTGTCAGGTCAGCCAGATAAAGTGAGATGAAAATGAAAATGGTAATGTTGTTACCGCATGTGAGTATTCTGTGTCTCAGGAAGTATAGATTTCGGCAAAATAAGATTATGTTGGGGGTCACCTGGGTGGCTTATTTGGTTAAGCATCTGACTCTTGATCTCTGCGCAGGTCTTGATGTCAGTGTTATGAGTTTAAGCCCTACATTGAGCTCTGCATTGGGCATGGAGCTTACTTAAAAAAAAAAAAAAAAGACTATGTTGACAAATGAAGAAATAATATTATAATTAGCATTTATTGAGACTTACGTGGTAGGTACTGTGTTGAGATATTTAGAGTTGTTATTTCACAGTGTCTGTGTGAGGTAGCGTGAAAAAATCAAATGCTATGGAAGTAGACAGTATCAGGGAACTGTAGGGTTCCCTGGAGAAAAGAACCAGTAGTGTATGTATATGAAGAGATTTGTTACAAGAGTGACTTAGGCCATCATGGGGGCTAGATAGGCAAGTCTAAAATCTGCAGAGCAGATGGCCAGGAAGGGCAGGCTGGATCTTTTAGACATGAGCTGAGCTCCCGGCCACAGGTAGAATTGCTTCTTGTAGGAGTCCTCAGTTCTACTCAAGGCCTTTTAACTCATTGATTCAGACCCATGCAGATTATCTATGATAATCTTTTAAACTGATGGTAGATGTTAATCATGTCTACAAAATACCTTCACAGTAACACCTATATTAGTGTTTAAATAGCTGGGAACTATAGCCTAGCCATATTGGCTCAGAACACTTTAATGAACCCCCCCCCCCCACCATGTATCCATCTCCCCATAAAACAGTTTTACTTCATTCACACCTTCATTCATGTCTCTCCTTCCTATTTTATTTTGAAACAAAACAAGTCTTAGTCATCATATAATTTTGTCCACAAATGTTTCAGTAGATATGTATCTCTAGCCCAATGCTGTCCAACAGAATTTTCTCTGATGGCAGAAATATATTCTGTATCTTTAGTCACTGACCACTTGAAGCTATTGAGGAATGTGGCTAGTAAGCCCAAGGAACTAAAATTTTACTTTAAATTAACATAAAGTTAAGTAGCCACATGTGGCTAGTGACTGTGGTACTGGAGAGCATGACTTAAGAATTTATCAGGGTTTGGGGCGCCTGGGTGGCTCATTCAGTTAAGTGTCTGACTTTGGCTCAGGTCATGATCTCATGGTTTGTGGGTTCAAGCCCT